AAAAAAAAAAAAGGTACATTTAGCCACCATTTTCCATTCTCCCTATGTATGGCGAGTTTATGGGCAACTTTTGGGACACCTTATGTTAGGGATACTTGTCTCTCCTCCTCCACTGGGGCCCTGACGTGGTGGGTTTCTCTTCCCTGGTCACCACCCAGAAACCGCAGCCAGGCGCTCAGCTCCGAGGCAAGTGTGGATGAAGGTGGCGTCTTTGAGAGCCTGAAGGCAGAAGCGGTCTCCCCACCAGCGCTCTTCTCGGGCTTAACCGGCACCCTTCCCTCCAGCTCGTTCCCATCCAGCCTGGTGCTGGGGTCCTCGGCAGGTGGCGGGGACGTGTTCATCCAGATGCCAGCGTCCAGGGAGGAGGGCGGGGGCCGGGCTGAGGGCAGCACCTACCACCACCGCCAGCCCCACCACCACTTCCACCACGGCGCCCACCGCGGGAGCTCCCTGCTACAGCACATGGGCGGGGACCACCGTGGCCACGCAGAGGAGGGTGGCGACGAGCAGCCAGGGACACCTGCCCCTGCCCTGTCCGAGCTGAAGGCTGTCATCTGCTGGCTCCAGAAGGGACTCCCCTTCATCCTGATCCTCCTGGCCAAAGTGTGCTTTCAGCATAAGCTCGGTGAGTCCCTGGGGACTAGGGACAAGTCTGACACCTGCAGCAGGTGGGGTGGGGATGTCCTCACCTATAGCACCTGGATAAGGCAGCAAAGGCTGTCCTGGTGCAAAGGGCTTCAGATTAGACCTGGTTTCAAATCCTGGCTAATTAAGCTGTTTGACTTAGGGTAAGTTACTTGGCTTCTCTGAGCCTGCTTCCTCATCTGTCTAGTGGGAGTTGTGCTAGAAACTTCCTCAGCTAGCATAGTAACTCAGAGCTCAGACTGCTTGGGTCTGAACCCCAGCTCTGCCCCTTCCGAGCTGTGGAACACTGGGTATGTTATTTAACCTCTTAGGGCTTCAGTTCCATCATCTGTAAAATGGGGGTTATAATAGTATATACTTCACGGAATCACAGTAACATTAAATTTAAGTTAACATGGGTAAAAGTACTTAGGACAGCACCTGGCCAAGAGAAAATGCTGGGCAAGTGTAGATTGTTAATTTTTATGCTATTCATTATTAACACATTAAAATACTTAATATAGAGCCTGGCACATAGCAAGTGCTCAGTAAATACTACCTGTTGCTGTTCCTGGTGAGAAGTAAGATGATGATTCAGTAAGGTGCTTACACTAGTACCTGACACATACCTAACATTCAATTAATAGTCTCTAGTATACTGTTGTTATTATTGTTACTATTATCATTCATGATGTCACTGTGTCCTGGAGGTACCCTGGAGGGCTTGTGGGCTGTTGTATTAGTCTTGTACCCAGCTGGATGGTAAGAATTACCTGGATGGCAAGAATTACCTGTGGCCTACCACTTCCCATAAGGAAATATCCAGAAGCAATTAGCCATCCTTTGTTTCTTATTTTCTCCTCTCTGATAAGTTCCAGCTGACTTGGGTCATTCTACCTTCCTTGCTGGGGGGCTATCCGATCAGCCCCTCCCTTTCTGTTTCTCAAAGCATGGTCCTCCTTACTCTGAATTCTGGCAAAATATTATGTTGAGCTTTATTTTATTTATTTATTTATTTATTTGCAGTGTTTGGCCGGGGCTGGGTTTGAACCTGCCATCTCTAGTATATGAGGCCAGCGCCCTACTCCTTGAGCCACAGGCGCCACCCTTGAGCTTTATTCTTGAAGGTGGTCATTTCTGTTTTCAGTTGGCAGGGGTTTTTTTTGTTTGTTTGTTTTGTTTTTTAAAGACAGAGACTCACTATATAGCCCTGAGTAGAGTGATATGGCATCTCTTGAGCTTAAGCAATTCTCTTGCCTCAGCCTCCCAAGTAGTGGTATTACAGGTACCTGCCACAACACCCAGCTATTTTTTTGTTGTAGTGTTACAGTTGTTTGGCACGCCTGTGCTGGGTTCAAACCCAACAGCCATGGTTTATGTGGCTGGCACCCTGAACACTGAGCTGCAGGCGCTGAGCCCAGTTGGCAGTTTTTTTTTTTTTTT